TATATATATATATATATGTCAATTTCAAAAATCCATAAATCATTGGCTCCTATATATGTAAGTAAAAACTAACCACTAGAAAAGGCCCTATCCTTCGAACCAGATAAAATTCTAGTTTAGGGAGATGTTTGGATTTGGGGAAAAAGAACATCCATGAATTTTTTGTTAAACCTTCTTCATAAATCATAAACAAACTATGTATAAACCCGAACAGAAAAAAGAAAAAAAGATGCCATGCTTTTATGCTTATTCCATCTTTGGGGTGAATGTTAGATGAGCCGCTCTTCATAAACATTTAAACTACTAAGCAATGATTATCCAACAATGACATGAAGTACAAACAATTACAAAGGCATGCTTCAGCTTCCCATTCAAATAATCTTAGATTGTTTAATTCTCTGGTGTTCATCGAACAACTAGCTAGCTTCAGCTACGGATTCAAATAATCAAAAATCCCACAATTATCGAAGCAAATTAAAAAAGTCAGACTTAGAAAAGAACCATATATAGATAGATATGTTGATCACAACTAATTCTTGATTGGAGGAGGCTTTCTCAACTTAGAAGCTTGTTCAAACCCATAAGCAATCTCTATCAATGTAGGCTCTGAACCCTTTAAACCCCCAAAACAAATACCATACGGAGCCCCATTTTTGTCATATCCACCTGGAACACTAATTCCTGGATATCCACCAATTGCAAGAACCGTAGAACCATATGAATACGGTGTTACAAGTGCATCCAATTTGTTTTCTTTCATAAACTTCTCAAACCCTAATTTTGATGCTCTTGTCAAGTTCCCCAATGCTTCCTTCTCTAACTCTCCAATCCCATTCGTCTTCTCAGCTTCCAAAAATATATCTTGTGGGTAGTCTTTCAGCTTTTCCTGAAATATATATAACAAATTAAATGGTGTTTTTTTTCATAAATAAAAATTTGATTAGATGAACATGATCACATGATTTGTACTTACCACATTAGCAAATTTCTTGTTGAAGGCTATCACATCTGCTAAAGATCTCACAGGTGAATCCACTAGCTCCTTCAGATATGCATTCAGTGATATCTTGAATTCTGCAAATAGTGCTATATACTCACCAAGGAACATTGGAACGATATCATTGTAGTTGGTGACTTCAAGATTGTCTATCAGAGTAGCACCACTTTGTCTTGTTTTTAACAAATTGCAAAAGTAAGAATCTTAGATTTATATTTTACGAATTAAAGAAAACCCCTGATGTTAAAAACATAAAATGCATACCTTAATATCATGAAGTGTTTCTTGAACTTATTCAAAATTTCAGTATCATTACCAAATCCAAAATTAGGATAAGCCCTCACTATCCCTAACCTCTTTCCTTTAAGTCCTCCAAGTTTTAGGTGCTTCAGATATCCACCATGTAGAATATACTTTGAAGCTTTTCTTGTTGCAACTGCATCATTTTTATCAAAACCCACAATCGCATCAAGGACATAAACAGCATCAGTTACAGTCCTACATATTGGTCTGTTAAGAGGGACAAAAACTGTTAGCAAAATCATCAAATCACCAGGAAATATGAATGGAAAAATTAATAGATATATTAAGGTTACCCAACTGTGTCTTGTCTAGGGGAAATTGGAATGACTCCTGCTCGACTTGTGAGGCCTAATGTGGGTTTAATCCCAACAACTGAGTTAGCACATGAAGGACATAGGATTGATCCATCTGTTTCTGTACCCAGTGATACAGTTACCATGCTTGTTGCAACTGCTATAGCTGATCCAGTGCTTGAACCACATGGATCGTGGTTTGCTACATATGGATTCTGCACAAAATTCAACAACTTTTTCAAAGACGCATATACACAAACACCTGGCGTGCTCTACTGATTTGGTAGCAAGAAGTTATCGTAAATGAAGTAAAACAATCAAACAACTACAAGTAATAAAGCTGAATCAAGTTAATGTATTGTTTTTCTTAAGCTATGAAGGTGGGAACTTACAACTGCTTGCTTAGTTCTAGCATTCCAGCCACTGGGTGCAGTGGAGCTTCTGAAAAAAGCCCACTCACTCAAGCTTGCTTTTCCGAGTATAATTGCCCCTGATTCTCTCAACTTTTTCACTACACCAGCATCCCGAGGCACCACTGACTTAAGAAGTGCGTAAGATCCTGCAGTCGTGTTAAGCTTATCTTTGGTTGCAATGTTATCTTTGACTAAAATAGGGATACCATGCAACCCAGAGCGCGACTTGGGGGCATTAGCTTTTCGCTCTTCATCAGCTTTCTGAGCTTGATGAAGAGCATCTGGGTTCACTTCGATGACTGCTCTGTAGATGGGATTGAGTTTACGTATCTCCTGGATGTACAACTCAACTAACACCTTGGACGTAAGTTTGTTCTGCTTAAAAGCTGTTCGAATCTCTTGGATGGTGGCTTCCTTTATGGTAAATTCAGAGCCTTCAATGGCGTTAATGCTCAGAAGCAGGAGGATTAACAAATAAATCTGCGTAAACATTGACAACTCTCTTTTCTGTCTAGGCATCAAAGGATTAAAAGGTATTTGGTATTTATATATGATGATGATGGACCTAAATATCTGATAAAATATAATATCTACTGCGAAAGACGACATCATGCTCTCATGGCGCATGGATAGGGAATTGTTAGGCATCTGCTACTGCCTACTGCCCCCGTTGATGGGAGGGAATCTCAAGATTGACCGATGTTCAAACACACAATACGATATCTCGACATATAAATTGTTTTTTTATTTAATAGAGTTAATTACAGAAATGGTTTATGGTTTGGTTAGTATTATACGTATTTATTTCAACCTTTGAAATATTGATAGATTTGTAAAGTTATTATATATCTTTTTTTTTTAAATAATAGTAGTATTGATACATTTTCTTTCTTTTGGGATATTTACTATAATGTATATGCTTTAAACGCAGGATTTAACTAAGATTTAACTAGCTAGTTGAGTTGTGCGTGTCAGCATCCAACCCGGCGATTGAATATTGAATAATGAAATTGTAATTTTAAATATGTTGATCCTAAAAACCAATTTTTTAAAATAAAAATTATATTTATTTTGAAAGAAATTCCCTTTGATTTTATTTGTCAACTCTTGTAGTTAATTGTTGTGCATCTTTCACGTTTCCATATGTCAACCCCTGTCATGATTAAAATTAAAATTGACAAATTCTAATTAAGTTTAAAAATTCGCATATATACCATGTAAACTTAAACGAGTAATATAAATTATGTAATTTATTTGCACGGGGGCCAAAGTGACAAGCTACAAGTTGACATTGAGGATAGATAGAAGAGAAAAGAAAAGTGTTTATTTAAGTATTTTAGTCCTTTTCTGAATATTGGTATGTCGGTATTCTTGTATCAAGTTCTTTTTTTTCTTCAATTAATGGCTTTATAAAACAGATATAGTTTAAACTTTTTATGGTTTTTTCTGTAACTATAGCTAAATAGCGCATATGGCATCATCAAAGACGACTCAAAAATAATAATAATAATAACAATCTGGTGCTCATCAGATGTTATATATAGATAGAGAGATAAGAGAGTATTCCAGACACACACACCCACACACAAAAGGTTCATAAATGTCAAAAGTGTTTGTCTTCGCATGTTTGCTTGTGCTCTTCACCGCCACCTCGCCGGCGGTGAGGGATAAATATTACTCCAACAGCCACACAGTTGATGTGCCGGCCACCATAAAGAAAACCCATCTCCACTTCTTCATGCATGACATCCTTTCAGGCAACAATCCTTCCGCCGTTCTTGTAGCAAAACCTAACGGCACGGTGGTCCAAGAAGGTAATCTCCTCCCATTTGGGGCGGTTTATGTAATCGATGACTGGCTCACTGTGGGACCAGACCCGAAATCCAAGATTATTGGAAATGCACGTGGAATGTACGCTTCAACCAGCCGTGGGTCAGACTTGACCTTGTTGATAAGTGCTGATTTTGAGTTTACGAGTGGTGTATTTAATGGGAGTTCTGTAAGTGTGTTTTCAAGGGATCCGCTGGTGGTGGCAAAGGAGGTGGCGGTGGTCGGTGGCCGAGGAAAGTTCAGGATGGCTAAAGGGTTTATCTTGCTTAATGCCGTTTACTTTAACACTACAAATGGGGATGCCATTCTTGAATGCCATGCCACCATTTTTCATTAACAAATTAAAGAAAGAAATAAGAGCTAGTAAGCCAGGTTATGAAAACCCTAGTGATGATGTTGTGATAAAGTTAAAATTATATATATGTTTCTGAGGTCTGGTTTGGGTTTTTGGTAAGAAAAAAAAAAATTGGGTCATGTTAATTTGTTCATATAAAATAAAATTGTATGAGAGTTGTCATGTACATATCACGGTGATAACGATCCTTTACATCAAAATAAGTCAAATCATTTAATTAATTAATAATTATGAAAGAATTTGGATTAATTAATAGATTGTTTATATTGGTAATTAAAGTTTTAATTCATACAATATTACAAAAATATAAGTTAACAAAGTTTTTACTAGCTAGGTACTTGGAAGATCATTCCTATGTAATTTCGTATAAAATAAAATTTGTTTCTAGTTTACATGGTTGATTGATTTATTATTATTATTATTATTATTATTATTATTATTATTATTATTATTATTATTTAATTGCCTTCTAAGCGATTCACACAAAGTAAAAATATTAATGTTCCGCAATTGTTTGGTTGTGTTTCGGATAAATTAAAAATATTATTCCATCGTGGAAAACGTGGATCGAATTGTCTATTAATTCAAAAAAGTTCTCGATCACTATGGAGTGCCTGTGGGGCAGTAACAGTGTATTACCATACATTTGTAAGCAAGAAAGATTCTGCATGCTTTTTACATTCAATAATAATTAATTATATATGCGCCATGAAAGCACGATGAGACAGTGTTGGGGCCAACAGGTTTCTTAAATTCTTTCATGTGATAAATAGTTTAAACTCCTTTAAATCCTTTAACGGATACAAACCAAGAGAGCACAATCGATCCTCCACCATTAATTGAAGACGATGACGCAGATTTTAACGCTGATTCTCCTGCTTCTGAGCATTGACGCCATTCAAGGCTCTGAATTTACCATAAGAGAGGCTACCATACCAGAGATTCAAACAGCGTTTAAGCAGAACAAACTTACGTCCAAGGATTTAGTTGAGTTTTACATTCACGAGATACAAAAACTCAATCCCATCTACAGAGCAGTCATCGAAGTGAACCCAGATGCACTTCATGAAGCTCAGAAAGCTGATGAAGAACGTAAAACTAATGCCTCAAAGTCCCGTTTAGGTCTACATGGTATTCCTATTTTAGTCAAGGATAACATTGCAACCAAAGATAAGCTTAACACGACTGCAGGATCTTACGCGCTTCTTAAGTCAGTGGTACCCCGGGATGCTGGTGTAGTGAAGAAGTTGAGAGAATCAGGGGCCATTATACTTGGGAAAGCAAGCTTGAGTGAGTGGGCCCATTTCAGAAGTTCCAATGCACCTAGTGGCTGGAATGCTAGAGCTAAACAAGCAGTTGTAAGTTCCCACTGAAAATTCGGCAAACTAAGTTGATTCAACATACAAAATTATTGTTTGATTAATTTTACTACATAGATGATACTTTCTTGTGTCACTGAACGTAACAAAATGAATGGATATTGTACAAAGTTAAGTATGTATCTAATTACTTGTATTATATTGAAGGATTTTCTGAATTTGTGCAGAACCCATATGTAGAAACTGCTGATCCATGTGGTTCAAGCACTGGATCAGCTATATCAGTTGCAACAAACATGGTAACTGTATCACTTGGCACAGAAACAGATGGATCAATCCTATGTCCTTCAAGTGCTAACTCAGTTGTTGGGATCAAACCCACTTTAGGTCTCACAAGTCGAGCAGGAGTCATTCCAATTTCCCCAAGGCAAGACACAGTTGGGTAAGCCTATAATATCAATCAATTTGTCTATTTATACCCGTCCTTTAATGATTATTTTGCTTACCTTTTTTGTCCCTCGTCTTGGCAAAAACAGACCGATGTGTAGGACAGTAACGGATGCTGTGTATGTCCTTGATGCGATTGTGGGTTATGATAAAAACGATGAAGTTGAAACCAGAAAAGCTTCAAAGTATATTCCCCATGGTGGTTATCTAAAGCACCTAAAATCTGGTGGGCTTAAAGGAAAGAGGTTAGGGATAGTGAGGGCTTATCCCAACTTTGGATTTGGTAATGATACTGAAACTTTGAATAAGTTTAAAAAACATTTCATAACATTAAGGTAAGCATTTCAACATCTTTTTTTTTTTATTGTACTTTTAAATCTACATCTAACAATGTTACTCTGCAAATTTGTGTTAAACAAGACAAAACGGTGCTACTCTGGTTGACAATGTGGAAGTCCCCAACTACAATTATATCATGCCAATGTTCCTTGGTGAGGGTATAGCACTCTCTGCAGAATTCAAGATATCACTGAATGCGTATCTAGAGGAGCTAGTGGCTTCTCCTGTGAGATCTTTAGCAGACGTGATAGCCTTCAACAAGAAATATGCGAATGTGGCAAGTTCAGATCATACCTTCATCATCATGGATTCATGGGATGATCCTCTAATAGAGTTTTTCTTTCTTTATTTGTATTATATATTTCAGGAAAAGCTCAAAGAATACCCACAGGACTTGTTTTTGGAAGCTGAGAAGACAAATGGGATAGAGGAGGAGGCATTGAAGAACTTGAAAAGAGCATCAAAATTAGGGTTTGAGAAGTTGATGGAAGAAAACAAATTGGATGCACTTGTAACACCATATTCAGATGTTTCTACGGTTCTTGCGATTGGGGGATATCCGGGAATTAGTGTTCCAGCTGGGTACGATAAAAATGGGGCACCTTATGGTATCTGTTTTGGAGGGTTAAAAGGTTCAGAGCCAACATTGATAGAGATTGCTTATGGGTTTGAACATGCTACTAAGGTCAGAAAGCCTCCACCAATCAAGGATTAGTTGTGATCAATATCTCTTTGTTTAAATAATATGGCATTATTCTGCTGTTGAAAACTTAAACGAGTTCACAAATATGGTCTATACAGAGCTATCTTATCTTATTGTCTCTTTCCATTCAGGAACTCCTAGTTGTGTATGGAAATAACGGATCAAGTGAATAGTAAACAAAAAAAATTCTTAACAAAAAGTTTGTGCAATATTTGGTTCATACTATTAATAAGATATTTTTGTTAAGGTTATCTTGACCATTATTGACATGCAGCTATCAGGAAGAAGTTACCAACATCAATAGCTTTCATCTTTGTGACAAACTAATAATCTACACAAGAGACAAATGGCTATGCCTGCAATTAAGGATAACCAAATTACATATAAGTGCTAGTGGGACAAATGATGATATAAAATTCCTAAACATCATCATTTGCAACTGCATTTTGTTTACTTCCGACTTATGAAGAATAATCTTATTTGAGAAAAATCATTATATATGCATAATACTTGAATAATTCTTGTG